ACAGAGGAGCCAGAAGGCCCCCAGCCCCCTAGCCTGGCCTCCTCCCCAGTCAGAGGAACAGGGCTGAGACTTCTTGGAGCAGTGTGCAGAACTGGCTGTAGAGGGGACACTTACAAAGAAGCCAAGATCAAACTCCTTCACACAGATGCCTTCCTGTTTGCTCAGTGATCTCGATGCAATCAGGCTGGTGGAGACATAATATCCTCCGACTGGCTGGCCTGGCGCCTGCTGCCCAGACCACTCGTGGTGTGACCAGGAAACGGGCCCTGCAAACCCTCACGGCAGCTGCAGACAAAGACCTCATTCTGCGTGACCGGCTCTGCCCCCACCCTGGCTGAGGAGCCGCCCGGGACTGAGGCTGAGTGCCAGGGCCCAGGGCCCAGGGGCCAGGGCCAGATTTGCACTAATTCCTCAGGTCTTAAGCTCCCGTCCACTTCCTGAGCAAAAGAACCTTCCAGCAGGAGCCGTTTGCTGATCTTACTTATCAGCACTGAAGTGATCCCATGAAACCCTTCATTCGATTCTGTGCTGGGGCTGTGGGGGGGTGGGGGGAGGCACTGAGCGGAAGGGGCGGTCACTGACACTGCAGCCGCTGTCGCCAGACCTCCGGCTAAGTCAGAGGCCCGCCTTAGCACAGGTGAGAGGTGTCAGGATGGCCCGAGAAGCACCTGTGTAACCTGTATTTGTTGACTTTGTGCTTACTCAAGGGTCAGGGGCCCTGGGGGGCTCTTGGGCTTTGAACTTCAGCTACAGGACACCCGAGGAAGGGTTCTGATTTGCCAAGCAAGTTGGTGAGGCTTCGGGGGTGGGGCGGGGGTTAGGGAGCAGACACAGAAGGTGAGACAACTATGTGAGGCCGTCAGCTCCCAGCTCCAGACAGCAGTGGTGGGTCTGACCTCAGCAGGACACAGAGCACAGGTCAGGCAGTTCCCAGAAGCGGTGGGCAAGGGCACTGGCAGTGGGGACGGCCGAGGCGGGCCACACACTTTGTGGACAGCGAGACACTACAGACGTAAGTCATCCGGCTCTGAAGCACCTGGCCCCTCCCATGGCGTTGAGGTTGTCACTCGGGTCACATACCTTGGCAAGACCTTCCGTCCTCGTTGAGGGTGAAGCCCGGGTTGCAGGTACAGGAGTACGATCCGGGCACATTCGCACACAGCTGCTGGCAGTAACCATAGCGACACTCGTCTATGTCTGGAAGCAGAAGCACCAGGCCGGTCAAAGCGGGGTCCCCTGCTCAGCCGTCATGACAAGGGCACCTGGGATAACCTGCCTCTTTTGAGCGAGGCCTGCCAAGGAGAAGAAGGGGAGCCCATGCCTCCAGAGTGCGAAGTCTCGGGGTGCTCACTGGATGCTCCATCCCCCTTCCACGCGCTACCTCCCGGTACACCTCACTCCCATGAGCATCTGAACCTAGGTTGAGGGTGGTTGAAGAAAGCTCAGCTTAGAGTGGGAGGGGGGAGGGGACGACACTTGAGCCTTAAGATGCTCACACACCTAGGTGAGCGTCCCACTGCCTGCAAGGAGACCAGCCAGCTCACAGTGTCAGAGGGATCCCCAGCATGGCTCCCCTGGGATCCTCCCCTATGCGCCTCACCAGCTCCATTGACCATGAACATGGCCAGCTGTCAAAGGCAGAGTCAGGATGAGCCGGGGAGTGAGAGTCTGGAGACCCTCAGACACAGGTGCGGCCGCAGGTGGAGGCTGGAGTTCACCCTGGATCTCCTTCCGGTGCCCAAGCAGATGTGAAACCTCGGGGGTGCACAAAGCCTTCAAGCCCTGGCAGACCTTCCGGAGGAAGCACCACCACTGCGATACGACTTCCCACTGACACGCCTCCATCGATGACCAGGAAGGGACTTCCCAGTACCTCATGGTGACAGGATGAGGAGCTATAGGATGCCCTCCTGGGGGACAGGGTGGGTGATGAAGGAGATCATCCGCCTGCAAGTGGAAATGGAGCCCTCACCTTTACGAGTGCCTACTGTGATCGGCTGGTCCATAACTGCCCGCTCACCCCACCCCTCGGCCCCGAGGCTAACCATGTCCCCTCCCTGATATTCTAGCTATGTTCGATCCATCCAGGTCTCTGGAGGCAGTGCCCAACCTGAATCCACGTGCCGGGTTTCCACTATCTACTGCACCGGTCTCTTCAACTGCCTCAGATGCATGTGAAAATTGACCCATCGGATGAGGAAGACCGAAGAAGAATCAATACCCTTGAACTGTGGTGCTGCCAAAGAATATTGAAGTGCTGTGGCGTGCCCCAAAAACAAACAAGTCTGTCTTGGAAGAAGTACAGCCAGAATGTTCCTCAGAGGCAAGGATGGTGAGCCTTCATCTCATGTCCTTTGGACATGTTATCAGGAGAGACCAGTCCCCGCGGAAGGACGTTGTGCTTAGTTAAACTGGATAGGGCGGTGATAAAGAGGGAGCCCTGTTTCACTGGGCTGCAACCCTGGGCTCAAACACAAGAACAATTGTGAGGACGAGCGGTGCTTCATGCTACTGAACATCCGGCTGTTACGAGTTGGAACCAACTGGGTGGCATCCAACAACCACTGCCAGAAAAGACTCCACCTCCGCTTTACTTGCTGGGGTGCCCTACTTGGAATGTGTGCCCATCCTTGTGCGTCTTCTGACTCTGAGTCCCAACAACTTTGAGCCTGGCCCAGCTCACTGCCCACGGGACAGGGCACCATGTAGATCCTGCTTGGAAGAGCTCATGGGTCATCCTTGGCCCTGACTTTTTCCTAAGGCTCAGGAAGAGGGGCCCTGGACCCTGGGAGTGCTTTGGAGGAAAGCCAGCTCTGTCTTGTCCCCACGGGTGCCCAGAGCAGGCAGGGAGCCTGGGCGTTGAAAGAGAAGGAAGGGTTTGGCAAAGGGACAAAATCCATTCCTTGACCATTAGGAAGGGTGACTTTGGAGTGACATGTGGACATGCTGCGCCATGTGAGAACCACATCAGAGCCCCGGAGCTTCCCCTGGACACATCCCACTCTGTGGAGTGGGGTGGTCCTCCCAGAGGGAGGGAGGAACCAGTGGCTGCGCCCCTCCGATGGGGCAGGCTTCCTGGCTTTTGTTGCTGCTGGTTGCCCCCAAGACAGCCCCAGACCACAGTGAACCCGGGCACAGTGGGACGAACAGCTGCCTGGTCTGGTACCATCCTCATGATTGGCTAAGGATCAAGCCGTTGGGACCCATAGGGTTTTCCCATGGGCTGTTTTTTCAGAAGTAGATTACCAGGCCTTTCTTCTGCACTCATCTTAGTCTGGAAGCTCCGTGGAAACCAGTTTGACATTCTGGCACCCCACAAGTCTCCACCAACAACCAGGTGGTGGGCGCACAGGAGGTGCATTGGCCAGGAGTCCAACCCAGTCTCCTCAATCTCAAAGTCCACTCAAACTCAATGCCACCGAGCGCACCCCACCCGTAGTGACCCTAGAGGACAGGGTAGAACTGCTCTTTTGGATTCTGAGTGTGTAATTTTTACAGGAGTAGAAATCCTTGTCTTTCTCTCATCAAGTGGCTAGTGGTTCAAACTGCCGGCCGACCTTATAATCAGGAGCCCAGCGCTTAACCAGGACACCACCAGGGCTCTGTTCTGTACCAAACCAAAAAGCTCACTGCCATTGAGCCGATTCTGACCCTACATAACAGAGTAGAACGACCGTAACTCTTCACAGGACTAGAAAGCTTTGTCTTTAGCACCCAGTTCTCCAACTCGGAGGGTGAAAATGTCCCTCCTAAATCCAACCTGTGTATCCCTCTCACCTGGTCCTCTCTAGTGCCCCTGCTGGTGGAAAAAAAACCTGGATGGAAAAGGAGGAGATGCTTTCGATCCAACTCAAGTTCCCCCTCTGTGAGTCTCAATTCCCAGCTCTCCAAAAGATGGACGAACTAACACTGAACACCCTCCCAGCTCTGGGATCCCACGTATCAGGTTCCCTTACAAAGCACCTCTCTCGCACGGCTCTACGTGTGTTCACACGAGCGGCATCACGTTTTCCATTCCAGCAGAGGGTGGTTAGACTGCACAGCGACCGCCATGATCCCCAGTGCTCACGTGCACGCAGCCCTTGGGCAGAGCATGCCTGAAAAGCCAGGCCAAGTCTAGTCCAGCTTATCAGACCCAAGGACGAGCCGGCCGGGGATCTGTGGGCAGACCCAAACTCGGCCTCCATCGAGAGGGGGTTGGAAGGAAGAAGCCGGGTTGTTTGGTTTCCACGATTTGGTTTGGGCCTGCTCCTCAGCCTGGCCAGGCCCATCGTTTCGGCAACAGACCTCGTCTTGGAGAATTGAAACCGGCAGGATTTCCCGTGCACCCCCCACCCCCTAACCCCAAAGAAAACGCAGTACAGCCATCACAACCTGGAAACAGAAATTGAAGTGACAACTAGGGTGGCCATGAATTCATCCCCTTTGCTCCAAGGAGCATGAAAGAGGAGGGAAGGAAGAAGCAAAAAGAGACGGAACAATCCGGCTCAGGTGCCAGCGGCGAGGGAGGGGCAGTTTCTCCGTGGAGGAGGGGAGACTCCTTGGTGGGGAGAGGGAAGGCCATAACTAATGGGGTGGACGTAGGTGGAGGCAACTATGCAGGACTGGGAGGAGGATGCGGCCCCTTTCTCTTGGTGATGTCTTTTAGTAGGACAGAGCAGGACTGCTCTCTACCAGCCCCCACTTGGAGGCAGGCAGTCCTGACTAGGTGAAATCAGACATGAGCCCTGAAAACACTCATGACAGGGCTGGTGACAGGTGGCGATGGCACCCGGGTCAGAGTGACCGTCTCTGCATTGGTGTCTGAGAGCCCCGGGGAGCTGTTACCTAAGCATTGTCCTTCCAGGAGCCAGTAGCCGTCGGTGCAGGAGCAAGTGTAGCCTCCCTCCGTGTTGATGCAGATCTGGGTCGGGTTGCACTGGTGGGAATCTGTCGCACACTCGTCCACATCTGAAACACAGACATGTTCCAAAGAACGTCACGTGCCTTCATCGAGAACTCAGGGGCCACCAGAGGAGTCAGCGTTTGCATGTCTTGACTGGAAGGCTTTTAAGTCGAGGAGCAGAGATTCCCCGGCTCGGCAGAAACCCACAGAGGATGGCCAAGAAGGCCAAGAGATGTACGTGTCGTGTCTGAGTCACCTGACCCCATCATTCTGTGAAAGTGCATCCATGGTCAGAGTCATGGCTGGAAGAGGCTCACTCATTCCGTGTGAAATAGGCGTCTCGTGTGGAGCTGCTGTGTGCTCAGGAGCACAGCAAATGCCACTGAGAACTAACACAACTGGAAGAAATGCCTAGTCTAGTCCAGTCACTTGTCTAGTCCCCAGGTTCATGTCCCTCTGTCCTGGCTCATGCTGCTGCTGACCCATCCCCCAGCCTGGTCTGTCTGGTGGAACATGAGGGTACTTGTGTCCATGTCCGTCTCTTCCGTTTAATTGGGAGCTCCTGCACATAGACTCCAGCTGTATCCGTGGCCATAGCAACCAAGGCACCAGGGACACGGACAGTGCTCAGAACAGTTTGTTAAACCCTTCTGTGACCCATGGGACATACAGTACCCACCTCCATTTTCCACCTCTGAGTTCAGTGGAACGTGGCCATCCCACTTTTAGAGCATGCCACCGTCTTCTGGACCCTCATATAACTGTACAAAGAAATGAGCCTCATCCCACCCAGCCAGCACCAGAGATCCCTAGGGACATGTGTCCCACTACTTGTATCAGAATCCATATTATCTTTTTTTTTTCTTTTTTTTTCATATATCTTTAAAAAAACTTTTCCCCTTTTATTTAAAATACATTCCTGTACTGAAAATGCCTTCCTGTTTCAACAGTACAAAAGTCAATGCAGAAGATAATTGGGTCTTGAAAGGGGTAAGATGAAAACAGTTTTTCTCCCCTTCGCCCCTGCACCGTCCTTAGGGGAGCGCCCCAGGGTCCTCCTATGGGACCTCCTTGTGCCACGATCTCACATCGACCTCCAGGAGGAGACTTTGCACCAGGCGTTCACCCAGTCATCACCCAGCCCCCCTGTCCTCCCCCGCTCCCTCCCTTCTCCCTGCTGCCCCCACACACATCGATGGGCCTCTAGTCAATGCTGTGGCTCACTGGCCGCTGCGACCACCTGCCCTGCGAGGCAGGTTCCTGACTCCATGTGACAAAGGAGGGCACCAACAGAATGAGCTGAACTCAGGCGTGTCACCTCATCCACTCTGGGCAGGATCAGAGGCCAGCGCGTCTGCAGCCCAGCAGAATCCGGATGGCGCCAGGCAGGGGAGAGAGGGCTGCCTTCGGGCCACCCCGCCTCGAACACTGTCAGGCCCTGGACCGTACAGACTGTCCCAGGCCCAGAACCCCAGCTCCTCGAGGGTGAGGATAGTCTGGGGCACAGAGCTCCATGGTCCATTCAACAGACGGCTTGTCTGGCATCCCCGCGTGGTGCAGACGCTTAGTGTCCTCAGCTACTCATCAAAAGTTTAGATGTTCAAATCATCCCACAGGGACCAGGCGATTTACTTAAACAGCCTCAGCCATTGAAAAGCTCTCAGAGCGCCGTTCTAGCTCAGACATGCATGGGTCGCCGTGAGTCAGAGTCAACCCGACAGCACCTGGTTTGGCCACTCCCTCAAAGGACACCCCACTGCACCTCAAAGCCACCAGCTGCCTGGGCACCTCTGGAGCCAGCCTTCACTCTTCCAAACAGGGGGAGCCTACAAGAGCCTGGGCTCCACGCCAGAGGCCGCCCCCACTCCCGATTCTGCCAGCCACCAGGGTGTCGACGTGCAGCCTCGGTGGCTAATCTCCAGTCCAGACCCCAGTGGCCGAACCTCTTCCGCCTCTGCCCCTGACCCCCCTCCCACCACCCGCTTTGCCGGCGGGTCATACTTGGCCAGCACATCAAGGTCTGTGACAATGTGGAAGGCCACTATCAGCCAGGGTACATCGACATTGTTCCTATGGGGGATGATGGATGGCAATTGTAACCCTGGGAACAGCCGTGCCTTAGAAATCTGTGTTCTTTTTCCTGCCTCAGGGTGGGGGGTTGTAGATGGGGGGGGCAGGGATGAAGGGTGAGGGAGAGATGTGGGGAAAGAACTGTCGGCAAGACTCAGTCCCGGCTAGTTCCTAGGTCCTGTGTCTGTGTAAGTCCTGCCACACACAATGCAACAAAGCCCAACAGAGAGAAACCAAGCACTTGTTCAAGCTGTGTGTGTGTGTGTGTGTGTGTGTGAGAGAGAGAGAGAGAGAGAGAGAGAGAGAGAGAGAGAAAGTAAAATAGTAAAATACTCAGGCTAAAAAGCCAAGTCTGCTTGCTTCATATTTGAAAACTTCCACCACATTCACGGAATCACGTCCTCCCCCACTGCTGCAACACCCAAACCCACTTCGCTGCCAGAGCCGATGTCACCTGACTCAGAGGACAGGGTAGAACTGCCCCCTGAGGGTTTCTGAGACTGTAACTCTTTACGGGAGGAGTAGGAAGCCTCTCCTCTCTCCCAGGGCAGTGGGCAGTTTCAAATTGCTGACCTTGCGGATCTCAGCCCTGTGCAGAACCACTTCACCACTGGGGCTCTGAAGCGGAGGGAGAGGTCAGGGCCTAAGAGTCGAACTCCCAGTAGTTCATGTCCTTGACTGTCAGCAGAAAGGGCATGTTCAGAATTCAGTGGGTTTATGGGAGTTTGGGAACCATGAGATGAGGCTGGGCTCTGGGAATATTCCGTAACGGTCTGGTGCGTGGCTGAGCAAGCCTGCATCCCGACCCTGAGACGGGTGTCTCTCTGCCAAGCGCACTGACAGGACCCCGGCGGGCCGTGCCTAGTGAGTTCGTGCATGAGTAACGCTGAGCACATCTGTTAACCTCGGGGTTCTGCAAAAGAGGGCAAGTGAAGCCTCCCTGCCAGGTTGCTGTGCACTGGCTGGCACATAGTAGGTGTTCAACAGACTCTTGTTCCCCTGCTGGTCAGTGCTGTCTCTCCGGGTGGAGAAGGCCTGGCCCTTGCTTGCTGTGTGCTCTCTGTCTGGGATTCACCAGGCTCTAAGACATGGCTCCTTCTGGGATTCTAAGCCGGGGCCGTGTGCCTTTCAAGACCCAGCAAGGGGCAAGGGACCAGGATGAGAGGTGGAAAAACATGATAGAAAAGAGTTGCTTTCCTCCTTGACTTTTGGTGTCCACCTCTGCGATGGAAGACATTTGGCACCTGTGGGTTCATGACGAGGAGCCCTGGTGTATGCTGACCACAGGGTAGGCCGAATGTCTCTGTGAGTATAAGAATGGCCATCAGCCACGGGGAAACATTCTCACTGGGGGACACTGGGAGACGCTGCCCAAAAGCCCTTTGAAGAATACCCCTTACCAAAGGCCCCCACGATTCCTTTTGTTGGACACGGTGAAAACCATTTCCTGGGTAGTAGACTTTCACCCGGTGAAACAACATGTTTCCCCAGCCCGTTCCTGTTCCTCCCCTGCCCAAACTCATGGTGCTTGATAAGGGAAGAATAACAATGGCTCATTCCTATGCCTTCGATTGAAGTCCGTTTCAGGCCTGCTGCTGGGCTGGGTCAGTGCCATTTTTCAGCGACATGCATCCAGCCAAAGCTGGAAGTTACACCAGGCCAACTTCCCAAACACCTGCCTCCTTATAGATCCTAGCACTGGAGAACTCGCTTGGTGAATCCCCAGCACGTCTGCCCTCCACGCGGCTTACAGTCCCAGGCAACCGTCAGAAACCAGAGCCCCTCGTGTTTACAGCCCTTTCCCTAACGCTCCGTAGTTAGCCCGGGAAGCAGGATGCAGTTGCTTGCTCTGTGCCTGTCATTAGGCACCAAATACGTGGCCCAGCTCCCAAGCATCAAATGCGTCTCTTCTCTTGGCTGAAACCAGCTGGAATCCAGGTCCTGATCACTGTGTGGAGTCTATTTTTCTATCCATTAAGGGAGAGCTTCGAGAAGAGCTCAAACAGGCCCTGTTAGCTCTGACCTTCTACAAACTATGCAACTAATGGGGATCACATTTTTTGGTTCTCAGTAATTGCTTTCATCCACCAAGGGCTTGGTAAACATCAGCTGACTCTGGCGGCTTTCAAACTGGGCAGTAAATTGGCCAGGACCATTCAACTTCTGCCAACGTACGAGTGGTCACAGCCACGAGGCAGGGCAGGGGCGCACATGTTTCTTTGGACACCCTGCATCAAGATGGCTCTAGCGTCAGAGAGAGGCCGCTTGTGGTCCATTTGAACATGGCATTTCGTTTTTCAAAGGCATGTGGCTTTGGCCATTGTTGTGACTACAAGGCTCACACTACATGGCCGCTAGCTAGAATTCTTGCGACTTGCCCATCAGCAGAGAACAATTTGGAAGTTACACAGGCCAGTGATTTGCAAGCTTGGTTGCCGAGGAGAATCTCCTTAGCCATGTGTGGGGCTGGGGCCTAGCATGCTGTTTTATTTTAAAGCGATCTTATTCCTAAGGAACTCAGCACAGGACCAGTTTGGAAACCTCCCCTGGTGGCATTGAGCTGCTTGCTGCAGGCTCACGGGTTGAGACCACCCACTCCCCAGGAGACTGACTGCTCCCACACAGATTTCTAGCCTCAGAAACCCTTGGGAGCAGCTCTACACTGCCCCATAGGGCCGCTCACTAGAAGCTGGAATTGACTCCGTGCCAGGGTGCTGGATTTGGTTTGAGGGTCCCAAAACAGAGAGAGGTGCAGTGGTTAAAAAAATGTTCAGCTGCTAACCTAAAGGTCGGCAGTTCAAACCCACCAGCCGCTCTGTGGGAGAAAGGGGTGTCTGCTTCTGTAGAGCGTATGGTCTGGGAAACCCACTGGGCAGGCCCATGCTGCCCTACGGCATCACTCTGTGCAGCATCCGCTTGAGGGCAATGGGGTTTGGATGTCAAAGCACTTCTTCCCAGACTTCCGTGTCCGTGGGAATCAGTGGGCCTCTCGGTA